GTTTCTTTCATAGACTGATTTGCAGTTAACCTTTTTTATTACAATAAAATTTGCTCTATAAACTCAACAAATTCAATTAATTTAACTCAAGCAATACAAGACGTTGAGTTGTCATAAATCATAAAAATTCTAGATGGTTATGTCTATCTCATTTTTCGGTCCTAGTGAAACTAACTCGAACTTGAATTATCGTAAACACCCTAAGGCCGGTATTCATAGTCCGTTCTTATATTCAAGATCGTCTTAAATACGGACTTATATTCGCTCTCTTCGTCACACATAGATTGTGTCTGACGAAGAGAGCGAATATAAGTCTGTACTTAAGACAATCTTGAATATAAAAACGGACTATGAATACCGGCCTAAGACTAAGATTAAGACTAGGGAAGTATAAACGCCCTTATGGCATTCTACGTTATCAACTCTTAAGATTAAGATTAAGACCGAAGCATAAACCAGCCATTAAACCCGCGGCACACGGTACTATTTTCTCTGCTGGATTGCTTACGTGCACCTGTACTGACAATCTTGCTGTTTGCTAGACTGGAAATTGTGTGTCTACTGGTCACGCTACTGACTGATATGCTAAATTTCCATGATAGAACAGGTGCTATTTTTCTTGCGTGATCCTGTGTGGCGTTCGGGCCACGTGTGCGTTCTCGCCGGTACGCCCTTCGAGTCTCGTGTTACTCTGGGGCGCGATTTGTAATGCCGAAGATTAGGACAGCAATAATTCCGGTCACTTTATTAACTCTAACAATAAGTTTATTGCAAAAATACAAAATCTAGCCGCGACTAACTTATGGTCACAGAAAACGAGAGGAACTTAAAATTACTGGGATCGGAAACTAACTATACTTTTTTGGGAATCTTTGGGAATGTGTGTTCTCGTTGGCTGAGACTTTGAACAAGTATGCTATAGAAGAGTCTCCATGCAATGTCGACCGCTGTCGCCATCTGCGTATTTCCCCGTCTAGGGAATTGGACAAGTGGGCCGCCACAGTACTCCCCCTCTAGTGACTCGCAGTTCGAGTCGCGAATTGGATTCTCCGCTCGGATCGTCCCTCTCTTTGGCTGGGTGATGCGTCTGATGTCCCTGGCTGCTGATGATCTCCGCCCTCTGGGGGTGGTAGTTCTTCTCTCTCACTCTCGGTGAAA